GCGATATGAGCTAATGAAGAGTAGTATAATGAATTAATGATGATGATAGGATACTGGAGATAGCACCAGCAGCAAAGGGATTGTTCTCTTTCTTAAGAGACTCAGAGGAAGTCCCTCACAACAATCCCAAACTCAAAGCTCATGCTGTTAAAGTCTTCAAGATGGTAACTACTATTTACTTACTTCCATATTTATCTAAATTTGTGATATATATAACTAATATCACTTGCATAGAATCGTATCATAATCTTACACTTCTAGACTGAAATTAAAATGGTTCATTATTATATAAAACGATATGAAACTATTTTTCTTTTGTTTTATTCACGTAGCCATGTGTGCACACGATTAATTTGCGGTCTATCTTGTTTGGACTTGGCTAGTTGACTTTGTCTTGTTCTTCTTCGAGGAAGAAAAAGTTTCATATTAGTCAAGAATAATATTAATATTGGTTCATTCTTAACATCCACTCAAGTATCCAAGTGAATTTTGTTTTGTTTTCTTTGGAATAATAGAATAAAATCATATATTTTTTCAAAAAACAAATAAAATCCTATTTCCATAAAATCTATGAATTTGAAGATATTTATTTTGGGTGCAGACATGTGAAACAGCAATACAACTGAGGGAGAAAGGAAAGGTGGTGGTGGCTGATACAACCCTCCAATACTTGGGCTCTATTCATCTCAAAAGTGGCGTTATTGATCCTCACTTTGAGGTTTCTTTTTAATTAATATGTTTTCTTTATTATTGAGTTTTTTTAAAAGTTTTGTTGTTATTTCAATTTTAAAAGAAAGTTAACACGTACGGCTACGAGTGTAGGTGGTGAAAGAGGCTTTGGTAAGAACATTGAAAGAAGGGTTAGGGGAGAAATACAATGAAGAAGTGGAAGGAGCTTGGTCTCAAGCCTATGATCACTTGGCTTTAGCCATTAAAGCCGAGATGAAACAACAAGACCCATAAAACCCTCAAGATCATTTGGGTTTATGTGCTGATACATGAATCTGTGTGTGTTTATGTTCTATATGTTGTCGCTCTCTGTCTACAAAATCATTTGCTTTTGAACAAGTGTTTTGAGCTATTGTTGTTACATGGTACCAAATACTGTAATAATACAATTTCTTAAAGCCAAGTCCAGGTCTCGAAAAAAAGTCTGCCAATTGTGCAGATGTTATTCTCATAAATTAAAAATTCTATCTTTTTCAGATGTCATTCTCATAAATTAAAAATTCTGAAACTGTATGCACAAATATGACAATTTCATCCCATCATCTTTGTGTTCTTTCTCCAAACACAAAGGTACATGACACTCATAACAGGGAAACCCCTATTAATGACAGAATAAATATGTACTTGCTCTTTGGTTAATTTGATTCCTTTGAGAGAGTTTACATCGCTGAAACAATCTGCAGAGACAATGGTTCATGACTTCAGAGACAAACATAATAATTCAACAAAAGATCAAAGATCTTAATCAGACTAAGAAAGTAATGAAGAAGATCAATAACAAAGATTCCAAACCTGTTGTTGCTCAGACATCAATAATATACCA